GAGAGAAACATTGACATGAGAGGGACACATCAACAGGTTGCCTCCTGCATGACCCCAACCAGGGCTGGGGACGAACCGCAACCAAGGTACGGTCTGGAATGGAACGCGCAGCTCTTTGGTCCACTGGCCAACGCTCTACCGCTGGCCAAACCAGCCAGGGCAAGAGATTTTTTTTTAAATTAAGTGTATCAATATGCCCTGCCTGACTAATATTAGACCCCAGCTCTTCCCCACATGAGAGTCTCTGAGAGTTCCCAATGTGTTTTTATTGCACTAATGCCTGTCCCAGTCTGCACTGCACTGGTCACTTCCACTGACCCATCCACCCTGGCCTTCACTGACAGCTGCTGTACCAGTTTTCTCAGCTCCTGCTGCTTAGAGAACTCCAGAGTTCACCTGCATTCAAATCACCAGGGTTGATCTTTTTGGTGGCACCTCCTGTCTGTCTGTGTCTCTCTCTCTCTGTTTCTTTTGGAAAATGATAGAAAAATATTATTTTGTATATATATGTGTATATACATATATATACATACACACACACACACATATACATATAAACTTTCAAACCAAAAAAATGATCACAAACTTTGGTGTATATACGTATCAAGAGATGGCTTTGTTTAATGTGTAGAGTCCCTGTTCCTGTCTCCAAACATTCTGATTCATTTGCTCTGGAGTCCTGTGCCAGAATTTTCATAGACCATTCTGATGTAGAAATGGGCTATTTTGTTCAATATTTTGAGGCATTACTTTTCTTTTTTTATTCTTGTTTTCCTTCACCACAATCAGTCAAAACTTCCCTCTTTTCCAGTTTCCTCAAGATGGTATATGGCAGGGTAGGAAGCAGACCAGTTCCTTTTCTCACTGATGTTTGTTTCCAAAAGCTTATTTCTGAGACTAGAGTTGTTGCTAATGGAGATAGGGCTCTTTCACAGAGTTGCAAGAAAAGCTTCTGGGGGACCCAGGCCTAGGAGGATGCGGTGGTGTGGTCAGATTTATTGGAGCTGGAGCACACACAAAGGGCTGTCCCTGGGTGCCCGATGTCTCATCCACGACCAGATGGCTCAGCTCTATCTCACTGTGGAGAAAGTCCAGTCTTGTCTTCACCAAGTCCAGAAGAAAAGCCAGGGACCAGAGATGTTGTGCCCTTGCCCAGCATTGTCCGGGCATCTGAAGCTGCCCCAGGTCAGTTTAGTCCATGCCAAAGCTTAGTCCAGTCTCTGTTCCCATCCGGCCCGCTTAGTGCCTTAGTCTCTGTTCTGCTGCACGCTGGCTGGCACTGCACACCCAGGCCCACGCTTGTAGACTGTGGAGAGAGAGCAGGAGCTCGCCCACAAACGAGCAAACGCCAGTGAATGCCGCTGAGAAGGCCATATGATTCTTTACAGGTAAAAATAAACTGCTAATAACGAACTATTCAAAACAACATATAACTGAGGGCAGCATTGACCTGAGAACCCAGTTATATGAGATTCAGTCCATTTCTTTTCAACGTTCATATAGCTAATGGATGCCAGACATCAAAGCCGGCATTTCTGAACATTTTTCCCCCCACTGGAACCTAACCAGATGCTTGAAGCATTCATTTCACAGATTAAAGAAATCCCAATAACTTGTGAACTTTGGCAACTCGTTATCTCAAATAAAAGAGAGTGAGCATTAAATTTGGGGATGTCTCAAAACAATGGAGACCGATGCTTACTAAAGAATTCTAACACTTCAGGCTAGAAGAGAATTATATTTATATATGTGATTAAAATCCTTTAGTCCACTAAACATCAATGTTCTAGACAGTGTGCAAGTCACAGAATAGAGATTAGTCTGATAATTCACCACTGAAAAGAAAAAAGCACACAGACACACAGAAAAAAAGCATTTAAGGAAATACTAACAAACAAGAAAATCCTGTTGGTTTACCTCGACATTTATTTATACACTGTCTCGTTAAGCAAAGAATTTGTGGCAGTAATGGCTGTTTTATTTATTAAATAAATGCCCTTCCCAGAAGTCATCTCTGAAGTATAGAGTATCAGAGAAGCATCTCAAAAGAACTTGATTTTGAAGCCGAATTATAAAAAACAAAGAACAGATGTATGTCATCATTAAAATTATATCAACTTTGCCCTGGCTGGGTGGCTCAGTTGGTTGAAGCATCATCCCATACACCAAAAGGTTGCAGGTTCGATTCCCGGTCAGGGCACATACCTAGGTCTCAGGTTCAATCTCTGGTTGGGACTCATACAGGAGGCAACTGATAGATGTTTCTCTCTCACATTGATGTTTCTCTCTCTCTCTCTCCTTTCCTCTCTCTAAAATCAATAAACATATTCTTAGGTGAGGATTTAAAAATTATATCAATTTTTATTATATATATTAAAATTATATCAACAAGAAAACTAAAAAATAAGACATAAGGTAGAATACCTCAGTCATCACAAGCTTCCTCAGTGGAGACACAAATCATAAGGTAAATAAAGCTGCCAAAATGAAAAGGCTACACCTTAGATGACCACTGAAGAAAACTCCACAACCCCCAGGCAAAATTCAGAGATCAACAATGCTTCTAAATGTCTTTTCTCAATCTTTCCACAGAAGCTGTTTCCACCGTGGCTTGGAAAATTCCATTTGATCAGATTTCTTTCACTTAGCCGCTGTTCCTGCTGTTCCTTTATTTACACCTTCCTTTAACCAAACGCCAGCCTTATGAAAGTAGACAGATTTCATTTCATGACTCTCAGAGGCAGGAAAAGCCCAGTGATGGTTCCTCCCATCTCCGGCATCACATTCCATTAAATCATTAGCTTTTAGAGTCCTTTGGTGTCGTGGCTTTAGAGAGGGGAGAGGCAAGATGACCAAGAAGAGACTGGGATGGCTGGGGCATTTTTCACCTACCTGAGAAGGGTGTAATGAGAAGTATGCCCAGCTTAACCATTTAAAGTTTATGAAACACCTTAGACTCCTTGGAGAGGTGATACCCTCAGTCTGGTAGCACATTACTACTGCAAACACAATGCGGGTGGAAAGTAAAAGCTAATAACCTACACACAGCAAAGGGCCTTACCGCTGACTTAACAATGTGTCCCAGTCAAAGGCAGCCTAAGGGAAAATTAAAAGAAGGCAGAATATTGGATAAAAAGTAATCAAATATAAGGATTAAAGTGTGCGTATGGTTCAACCGACAAAGGAGGAAGTTTTAAATAAACAAAAGTCAGCGAGATACATGAGCATAAAGCTAAGAAGGTCAAGAAATATTTTTTGAAAGCATCTATACTTTTATAAAAAGATACTTTTTAAAAATTATGGTGAAATACACATAATGTAAAACGTACCATCTTAACCATTTTTAAGTGTACAGTTTAGTGTTAAATACATTCACGCAGCAGTGTAACCAATCTCCAGAATTCTTTTTTAGCCTGCAAAATGAAAACTCTATATACCCACTAAACAACTCCCCATGGCCTCTTCTCCAGCTCCTGGCAACCACTCTTCTGTTTTCTGTCTCTTAATTTGACTATACCAGGTACCTCACATAAGTAGAATCATACAGTATTTGTCTTAAACACACACACACACACACACACACACTTTTACATTACTAGCAGAGACCAATGGGAAAATCTAAAGTACAAAAGGACAGAAAAACAGGAAGCAAAGAGTGAACTGGGGAGGATTCTAGATTTTAGTATCTATATATAATGACCCCAGTCATAACATTAGTTATCAGAAGTGGATGCAGATTCTCTTTTCTAAATGTCTTTTAAGCAAGATAGAAAAGGAAAGGGAAAAAAACACGAGCAGAGGGTAGACTGGGGAAACTCCAGATTCGGTTTCTGCAAATGACTCCACCACATAGCATTGCTTATCGGAAGTGAATTCAGATATCGTTAAAACAAAAATGAAATCAGTATCCTCTCTTAGTTTCTTAAAATTTTATTCTAAAGACGGAAGTTGGTATCATTATATCAGACTCAAATTCAATCAAAAAGATCACAATCTTTGTGCCAACGCACCAGTCACAATGCACTCTGATCTGATTCTAAAACCATCTGTCTAAAAACTTTCCAGTCTTGCCCTGGTCGGTGTGGCTCAACGGTTAGAGCGTCGGCCCGCAGTCCAAAGAGACCCAGGTTCAGTTCCCGCTAAGGGCATGTACCTCGGTTGGGGTCGTGCAGGAGGCAGCCACTAGATGTGTCTCTCTCACATGGATGTTTCTCTCTCTCTCTCTCTCTCTCTCTCTCTCTCCCTCCCTCCCACTCTATCTGAACAAAAATGGGAAAATGTCCTCGGGAGAGGATAAAAAAAAAAACTTTCCAGTCTTTCTTAGACATTCTCTGCTCGAATGAGCATGTTGTTGAGATCTAATAATATGTACATGGAAGACTATTTTTATTTAAGTTTTTCTTATCAACCATAAACATTTCTAATTTTATCTCAAAATACAAATTAGACAATAACCTAAAAATCACAAACTTCAGCAACCTCAGAAATATGCTGATTGAAATAATCATAGAGAAAGACAAGTAAATCTAAAACTAATGCTGAGGCTGAAGCTAATTTCAGCTTTAAGAAAACGATGCAAACAAAATGTTACAAGTTTGACGGGAAATTTCCCTTATCATATTAAGTATTTCGATGACGTTTGTTAATCTGGGGATGTGCCCTGCAGTTGGGAAATCATGAAGCAAATTTAATAGAATTACTCCTTCGAAAAAGAATTATCAGTCATCAAAACCTATGAAAGAGCAAAACTGTAATTCTAAATTTTTTTTTTTTTTTTTTTTTGCTTTGCTCCACCTTGTTTTCTTTTTTTCTTATTATAGTAAATGCCCCACGGCTCTGAGCCAGTAAAGTGGGTCCAGAAAAAAAAAACACATTATCCAATGGCGGATTAGCCAAACTGTAACAGGGATTAAGAAGTGACACAGAAAAGGAACACCCTAAAAGTGTGTATATAAGGGCCACAGAGGCGTCCTGCAAATCCGCTCTTCGCTGTCACCTCTGCTACTTGCCTGGACAAGCTACACATTCGCAGGAGCATCATGTCTTGCAAATCTCGGATCTCCTCCTCCCGGGCTGGAGGCAGCAGCTCGGGCGGGGTGTCGGCCGGGGGCAGCAGCTTCAGCAGTGGAAGCAGATGTGGTCTGGGGGGCATCCGAGGAGCGGCTGGCAGCTGTGGCCTGAGTGGGGGAACGAGTGGTGGCTTTGGAGGGAGTTTTGGAGGGGGTTTTGGTAGCTGCTCAATAAGGAGTGGCTTTGGAGGATCTTCAGGCTCTGGGGGTGGCTTTGGTGGGTGTTCTGGCTCTGGCTGGGGTTCTGGATTCGGTGGGGGTTCTGGATTCGGTGGGGGTTCTGGATTCGGTGGTGGTGCTAGCGGAGGCTTCTGCAACTATGGTGGTGGTGTGGGCGGTGGTATTGGCGATGGGGGACTTCTCTCTGGAGGTGAAAAGCAAACCATGCAGAACCTCAATGACCGCCTGGCCAGTTACCTAGACAAGGTCAGAGCCCTGGAGGAGGCCAACACTGACCTGGAGAACAAAATCAAGGAGTGGTATGATAAATATGGGCCTGGGTTTGGAGATGGTGGATCTGGGAGAGATTACAGCAAATACTATCCAATCATCGAAGAGCTCAGGAATCAGGTAAGATACTATCCACCGCAGAGTTTCTGTTGTCTCTTTTGCTTTTATTCAGAACATGTACATATAACGAAGATGTTAAGTTAAGGAATTATCTAAAAACATATTTGCTGGTTGGATATGTAAAATGGGACTTGGTGTAATTTAACTATAGCAGTACTGCATAGGACATCCAACTACATTAATTTTCTGCTTACGTCTCAAATTTGAGTAATTTTTTTTTATCCTCACCCAAGGACATTTTTGCATTTATCTTCAGATAGAGCAGGAAGGAGAGTGGAAGGAAGAGAGAGAGAGAAACATCAATGTGAGAGAGACACACCGAGTGGTTGCCACCCACATGACCCCATCCAGGGCCGGGGACAAACTGCAACCGAGGTACATGCCCTTAGTGGGAACTGAACCCTGGCAGCTCTGGTCTGCGGGCTGACACTCTAACCACTAAGCAAAACCAGCCAGGGCTTGAGTAAATTTTTTACATAAGAGTAAAATGTATATAATGGCAGGCAGCTCACTGACGTGTATATATGAGGGATGGTAATGGGTCGACACCACCATAATTTGTTTCATGATTTGTTCTGGCAGGTTGACATAGTTTTGTGTCTTGCTAGATTTAAATAGTCTTTACAGCTATTTTTCTTTCTAGAATCTGGCACAAATATTTTATAAGATTGTGGTGGAATCTAAAGTGTTTTGCCACGGTTGTATGGAAAATTTATTTTTAAGGACGTTTTAAGAATTGAAGCTCGGTTTTCACGCTATTTTCTGAAAGAGCTCATAGAATAACTGAGCTTCCAAAGCAGTGAAAGTATGCAAAGGGCTGGGTTCTGTGCCTATTCCAGTAACTTTGCGAATTGTTACCTTTTTGCAGAAAGATGTGGTCCAAATACACCAGGGTCATCAATACAGGTGCCATTAATGCAAGTTTTCAAAGCAATTCACCTTTAAAAGCTAACTCTGGGGCACCCACCCTCACAGGTGGGCATGCAGACACAAGGTAAAAAGCATCCATGATTCATTCATTCACTGTTTTTGCCTCTTCTAGATCATTACTGCCACTATTGAAAACGCCGGGATCATGTTGCAGGTTGACAACGCCAGGTTGGCTGCTGAGGACTTCAGAATGAAGTAAGAAAAGTGAAGACTTGAAAATAAGTGTTGTAGGAAAAGTAAAATTCAGTCTGTTTGCTTAATTTAGTCTAATATATTTTAATCTTTTGGGGGACCAAAACCTAAATTCACAAAAATCTCAAACGTAAATTTCAAAAACCATCATTCTACCCACAAACAAAAGAGACAAATTCAGAATGGCATTTTTGTCAAAATAACTATTACCCATCAGTAGAATTAACATTAGGCTCATGTTTGTCTTTACAGGGGAAAAATTCCTAAGACAAAACTTAGTAGCCTTTGTTTATCCAATAGCTTAGAGGAGAAAGCTCCTTGAATATATAAGATTGGACATACTCTTCGAAGTGTAGTGTACTGTCTTTCCGCTGCCCCTTCCAGGTACGAGAATGAGCTGCACCTCCGGCAGACGGTGGAGGCCGACATCAGTGGCCTTCGGAAAGTCCTGGACGACCTGACCATGACTCGCTCAGACCTGGAGCTGCAGATGGAGAGCCTCGCCGAGGAGCTGGCCTACCTGAAAAAGAACCACGAGGAGGTAGGGACACATTCCACGCTATTAAACAACTCTGGCCTACCGACCCCCACCCCCCAGCCACTCTATAACAATAAAATAAAATCTTTCTGAATGGATTTCCAACTCCTATGACCGGGGTGGGGGGAAATAACGGCAAATTACATCTGATTTTAGTGGGGTTTGTGGTTCTCTCTCCCTTCAGTGTCCTAGTGTCAGCAACGCATTTTCGGAAGACTGTTGCTTTTCTGATGTCATCACTTTGGACTTTTTCTTCTCTCTATGCAAGGAAATGAAGAATATACAAGGAAGCTCTGGAGGGGGCGTGACAGTAGAAATGAATGCCGCACCAGGAACCGACCTGACCAAGTTACTGAATGACATGAGGGCGCAGTATGAGGAGCTGGCTGAGCAAAACCGACGCGAGGCTGAGGAGCAGTTCAACAAGCAGGTAGATTATCACCACTGAGCTGCTAAGCCTGTGGCCACACAGACGCCACTTCCACTCATTTCATCAGCCCACGGTGACTGCATTTTATTTTATTTAGAGTGCATCACTGCAGGCACAGATCTCCACTGAGGCTGAGGCAGCCAGTTCCGCCAAGACTGAGATCACAGAACTGAAACGGACCCTGCAGGCCCTGGAAATTGAGCTTCAGTCCCAACTGGCCATGGTCCGTGCAAAGCGCTTTCCGGAATTTCCAACAGGGAGCTAAGGGGTTCGGCTTTCCCTCTTGCCAGGATGTTCCACTTAGCCCATGATAACAGCAGCATTAAGGACTGTATTGTGGTCATAGAAAGCATAAAACATTCCAAGTAAAGATAACATATGCTACTTCCATAAAGGATTTCGTTTTAAAACCTTATGCCAACAAAAATTATGAAAGCGATGATAGAACAATAGCTGGTAGTTTGGTGAAGGTGTACATCTCCCAGTACCTTATAAAATTTTGTCATTTTAAAAAGTCATCCATTTATTTTCATCATGATTTTTTTATTTCTTTTTCTCTTAGAAAAACTCCCTGGAAGGGACCCTGGCTGACACGAAGGCCAATTACATGGCCCAGCTGTCAGAAATTCAGATGCAGATTGGCAGCCTGGAGGAGCAGATCTGTCAGATCCGGGGCGAGACCGAATGCCAGAACGCAGAATACGAGCAACTGCTGGACATCAAGACCCGCCTGGAGATGGAGATCGAGACCTACCGCCGCCTGCTCGATGGAGAGGGAGGGTAAATGAAAGTCATGAACATGTAAAAAGCATACACCTTGGTGTATTTATGTCATAAAACCAAAAAGGTGCCTGGGGGCAGGACTTGTATTTACAAAGTCACAGTGACGGTCCAATCAAACGACATCTACCTTCATCACGGAGAGCCCTCTGCATTGGGGGTTTCTCCTGCCTTTGCAAAATGCAAAGGAGAACAATTCTTTTCCTTTCTCCAGTGGTTCTGGTTTTGGAGGATCTGATTTTAGAAACTCAGGATCCAAAAACATGGGGTCCAGAAACACAGGATCCAGGGATTCCATATCTGGTGACTCGAGATCTGGAAGCCATTCTAGCCAAGGAAGAGGTAGGCATTCTTTTAGTGTTCATAATTTTACCATTTAAAAGTAAAAACATGTTTTGCTTGTCATATTAAAAGTGTATACTGTGGCCCTGGCCAGTTTGGCTCAGCAGTTAGAGCGTTGGCCTGCGGTCCAGAGAGACCCGGGTTCAGTTCCTGCTAAGGGCACGTACCTCGGTTGCAGTTTGTCCCAGGCCCTGGATGGGTCTTGCGGGTGGCAGCCACTCAATGTGTCCCTTTCACATCGATGTTTCTCTCTCTCTCTCTCTCTCTCCCTTCCACTCTTTCTGAACCAAAAAAAAAAAGGAAAAATGTCCTCGGGTGAGGATTTAAAAAAAAAAAAAAGTGTATACTGTGCCCTGGCCAGTTTGGCTCAGCGGTTAGAGCGTCAGCCCGTGGATCAATGAGTCATGGGTTCGATTTTGGTCAAGGGCACGTACCTCAGTGTGGTTTGTCCCTGGCCCTGGTCGGGGTCATGTGGGAGGCAGCCAGTCAAAGTGTCTCTCTCAAATCAATATTTCTCTCTCTCTCTCTGTCTCTCTCTCTCTCTTTCTGTCTTTATCTCTTTCTCTCTCTCTTGCTGCCACTCTGTCTGAAAATAAATAGAAAGATATCCTTGGGTGACTATTAAAAAAAAAAAAAAAAAAGTATATACTGTTGTTTACATCGCCTTACCCAGAGAGAACATACTTAATGGATACATTTGTATTTCTTCAGATCAGTTCCAGACTGACATTGTGATTCTATGATTTCAGATCCAAGCAAGACTAGAGTGACTAAGACCATCATAGAGGAGGTGGTGGACGGCAAAGTCATCTCATCTCACATCAGCAATGTTTCTGAGGTCAAAGTCAAGTAGAAATTTCCAGATCGTCAAGAGTGTCTCTTAGAGAAAAAAAAATCTAAAGGACACGCATGAAGACATCACATCAATCTAGCCATCTTTCTGGATAACTTCGGGAAAATGGTTCTGCCCAGAAAGAGATGACTAACCACGTTTCCTGCAGCCTCTTCTTTTCTTATTAGAATGCTTTCAAAAAAAGTGAAATCACAACTCTGCTCTAATTGTTTCTAGGCTTCAAATAAACTTACTTTTGCAAATTAATTAAAGTATTGCTGATTTTTTAAAGAAATATAATGTTTTACTTAGAAATGAAGCAGTGTTATGTTACTAATATTAATTCATTATTTACCAGTACCTTCTTCATACAAATCAAGGCTGCAGCCATTTCATAAAAATCATGCCTTTTTTTTAACAACATCACATCAGAACTCAGAGATAGCTGAAATTAAACCTCAGTGTCCCTAAAACCATAGCCAACGGCTGAGCCCACAAAGAAGGATGCCATTATTAGAATTATCAATCCATAATTAATTAATGCCTAGTTGTTGAAAGTCCATCACTGATGAAAAGAAATATGAGATGCCTCCTACTTCGAGAAAGCTCCGTTTTAGGTGAAGAGGAAAGCTAACACAGAGAGGGCAGCAAACACTAGGGGGTGTTTCTGGTGAAGGGCTTGATTCCACAGTATTCACAGGAATCTGACATTGTGTCATTTAGGGGACTGGTCAAAATAAAAGTCTTGGGAAGCAAGGTGGGACATGTGATTCGGTGCCAGATTTCTGGAAACCTTGACAGCCCCAAAGGGAAGAGGTGCTCAGATACTTGTTCCTGCGCCTAATCCAGCCACACCTCTAGGCAAACGTCGTCACTTGGCCAAGGTGGTGTTTCCTTCTCCCACTCTCCAGTGCTGAGGTCTTTTACCCCGTGGGTGGCCCACAGGGCTGTCTTGTCTTGCTTGGGAAAATGAAGCCTGTTAAAGTAGGGTTAAAGTAGGGTTAGAGGTGGTATAAGATCAGTCCCAGGAAGAAACAGGCATAGGACAAAGCCAGGCTACATAAGAACATCCCTGCTCGAGGAATTTAATATGAATGGATCACAGAGTAGAAAATCAACCCCACAAACCAATCCTCAAGAAAAGAACAGGGGACTTGGCAGAAAAAATCAAATTTAAAATTACAAAAGAATAAACCTGAATATAGTTCATGTAAACTGTACCTTCAAATGTAAAACCAACGACAGCTGTATGGAGTATCAAACCAGAATAATCAAGACAACCTAAAAATGTAGGTTTCCATCTTCTAGGCACGCTGAATAAAATATAAAAATGAACCATAGGCACAAGACTTCTGCTTAAATAGCTAACCACAACGGTGAATAGCCAAGCATGAAGCCACTACTAGGAGAAAAAGAGCAATGTTAACTTGCCTTCAATCAAACATGTTTCCCATCAAACCACTACAGTAAATTAAATCTTGCAAGTGGACACTTGAATTACAGAAGGAAACGTGCTATAAAGTATCTGAATGTCTATCCCCTATGCTGTGCACCAGAAACTGATACAAAATAATGCTGAATGCAAACTGTCATCAAAAAATAAAATAATAAGCCCTGGCAGGTTAGGCTCAGCTGTTAGAGTGTCGGCCTGCGGACCAAGGAGTCACAGGTTCCATTCCAGCCAAGGGCATGTACCTCGGTTGTGGTTCGTTCCCAGCCCCAGTTGGGGTTGTGTGGTGGCAACCAATTGATGTGTCTCTCTCGCATTGATGTCTCTCTCTCTCTCTCTCTCTCTCTCTCTCTCTCTCTCTCTGAAAAGATACATGTAAAAAAAATTAAATAAAATAGTAATTAAAAATTCAATCTTGGCCCTGGCTGGTTTGGCTCAGCAGTTGGAATGTCGGCCTGCGGTCCAGAGAGACCCGGGTTCGTTTCCTGCTAAGGACGCATATTTGGGTTTGAGTTTTGTTCCCGGCCCTGGTGGGTCATGTAGGTGGCCAACCACTCGGTGTGTCCCTTTCACGTTGATGTTTCTCTCTCTTTCTCTCCCTCCCACTCTATCTGAACAAAAAATGGAAAAATGTCCTTGGGTGGGATAAAATAAATAAATAAATAAATCTTGGATGTTTCTCCAGTACTGAAAAATTAAGAAAGGTGAACAAGCTGATCCAGCCTGGGTTAATGACAGGACAGAAACGGAAACCAGTTGAGTGCAGCCTCCAGTCTCTCGGGCCTTCACAGCCTCTCCGTGAACCTTCCCAGACTAGTCCTCTTGTCCTGTACCACCTGGGACCTGTGTTTATGGCAAATATTCTCCTCATGTCAAGGCAACAATACACGACTACTCTGAAAACCACCTTGAGGTGAAAACCCTCCTTCTGGGTTGCCTTGGCCATGTGTTAAAATGCTGCATTTGTGCTAAATGGGTGTTGACAGTTTTAGAAAAGGCTAGAACATACAGAGATGCAGTATCATGTGTTAAAAAGCATGTTTCATTCTTAAAACTGAAACTATTGTACCCTTTTGGATCATGAAATATATTTAGAGTGCTGAATAATATCCTGTACTTAAAATTATTTTAAAACCACACACGAGCCTATGTTCTATTTCGAAACTAAAGTTCAGTTTTCCAGTCAACTTTTAAATTAGAGAAATGTGTTCCTTTCTTCTAAGAGTTAGACTTCTCCATAAGAAGGAAGAACCAGTGTCTACTTGCATATGAATTTTTACCTGTTGACTTTTGATCCCGATTCATAAGGTTCTTGTCTTTCTGACCTCAAGGGACAGCCGACAAGAATGGTGAGCATGCTGGAAGCGGCACTGGTCCTCACGGGGATTAGAAACATGAAACAAAGTTTACAGTAGGCAGAGAAGAGGAACAAGCCAAAGGGTTTGAGACCATAGAAGTAGCCCGACTTGCTTAACGACTTCATGGAATTAGAGAGTGTTCAAAAGATCTACAAGTGGAGACAAAGTGATGACTAAATCGCCCAGGATGTAGCTCGAGTAATGTTTTCCAAACAATCTCCTTAAATAATAAAATGCTGCAAGTAATCACTTAAAAAAATATATCAGTGGCTTATCAAATGACACTTGACAAAAAGGAAATATTCATAAAGCTCTGTTAAAAAAAAAACAAACCCAGTTTACTCATTTGTAATATCAATGTCAATATGAAATGATAAGGTGGAAGGAAGCAAACATTGAGATAACACTTCAACCACTATTTTGTTACCATTTATAAATGACATATAAAGGACAAGCCCAGAGTGTATCACAGATCAATTCCTAGAGAGAAGGGAGATGAAATGTTTATTTTGCTGACCAAACCACAGGAAATATGAAAGCATATGAGAGCTCATTATAAGATTGCATTAGGACATGCATCGCATGGTCCAGCTTGCTTCTTTCTTTTTGAATTGTTGACAGTATTACAGATGTTCCCCTTTTTTTCCCATCGACCCCCTCCTTCCTGCTCCCACCCCCTTCCTGCTTTCCCCATCCTAATGTCTGTGTCGATTGGTCGTGCATATATGCATATAAGTTCTTTGGTTTATCTCTTCCCACCCTTTCCACCCCCATCCCTCTGAGGTTTGTTAGTCTGTTCCCTACTTCCATGATTCTGGGTCTCTTTTGGTCGATAGCTCATTTTGTTCATGTTCCACAAATAAATGAGATCATGTGGTACTTGTCTTTCTCCGACTGGCTTATTTCACTTAGCATCATACTCTCCAGGTCCCTCCAGATCCTCTCAAAAAGTTAGAGCTCTCTCTTTCTTACAGCTGCATAATATTCCATTATGTAAATGTACCACGACTTTTTTATCCACTCATCTACTGATAGGCATTAGGCTGTTTCCAGATCTTAGCCATTATAAATAGCACTGCTATGAACACAGGAGTGCATATATTCTTTCTGATTGGTGTTTCAGGCTTCTTAATATATATTCCAAGAAGTGGGATCACTGGGTCAAATGCCTGTTTCATTTTTAATTTTTTGAGGAAACACCATATAGTTTTCCACAGTGACTGCACCAGTCTGCATTCCCACCAACAGTGTGCTAGAGTACCCTTTTCTCCACATCATCGCCAGCATTTGTTGTTTGAGGATTTGTTGATGGCCACCATTCTGGCAGGTGTGAGGTTATATCTCATAGTCGTTTTAATTTGTATCTTCTGATGATTAGAGATGTTGAGCATTTTTCATATGTCTCCCGGCCATTTGTATATCCTGTTTGGAGAAGTGTCTATTCAAGTCCTCTGCCCATTTTTTAATGGATTGTTTGTCTTCCTTCATTGAGTTGTGTGAGTACTCTATATATTTTGGATATTAACCCCTTATCTGACCAATTGTTGGCAAATATGTTCTCCCAAAGAGTGGGTTCCCTTTTCATTTTGATACTGGTTTATTTTGCTTTGCAGAAGCTTTTTATTTTGATATAGTCCCATTTATTAATTTTTTCCTTTGTTTCTCTTGCCCTAGGCGATGAATCAGTGAAAATTCTGCTACATATGATGTCTGAGATTTTTTTTTTGCCTACAATTTCTTCTAGGATTTTTATGATTTCACAGGTTACATGTAAGTTTTTTATCCATTTTCAGTTTATTCTTGTATGTAGTGTAAGTTGGTGGTCTAGTTTCATTATTTTGCATGTAGCTGTCCAATTTTCCCAACACCATTTATTGAAGAGACTGTCTCATTGTATGCTCTTGCCTCCTTTGTTGAATATTAATTGTGCATACTGTCTTGGGTCGATATCTGGGTTCTCTGTTCTGTCCATTGATCTTTTTGCCTGTTCATATGCCAGTACCAGGCTGTTTTGATTACAATGACTTTGTAGTATAACTTGATATCTGGTATTGTGATCCCTCCCACTTTGTTCTTCTTTTTCAAGATTGCTGTGGGTTCCATATTTGGGGTCTTTTGTGGTTCCATATAAAATTTGGAGTATTTGTTCTAGATCAGTGAAATATGCCCTTGGTACTTTAATAGGGATGGCATTGAATCTGTAGATTGCTTTGAGTAGTATGGACATTTTAATGAGGTTGATTTTTCCAATCCATGAACATGGTATTTTTATATCTTCCTCTATTTCTTTTTTCAATTTCCTGTAGTTTTCTGAGAACCAGTCTTTTACCTCTTTGGTTAAGTTTATTCCTAGGTATTTTTGTTGTTGCAATGGTTAATGGGATTAGTTTTTTGTTTGTTTTTTAGTTTCTGAGTGTTCATTGTTGATGTATAAGAATGCCATCAACAAAATAAAATAAGAAAAAAAATGTCATCGATTTCTGGATGTTAATTTTGTATCCTGCTACTTTGCCAAATTCATTTATTAAATCTAGTAGATTTTTGATGGAGTCTTTAGGGTTTTCTAAGTACAATATCATGTCATTTGCGAATAATGACAGTTTTACATCCTCCTTTCCAATTTGGATCCCTTTTATTTTTTCTTCTTGTCTAATTGCTGTGGCTAAGACTTCCAGTACTATGTTAAATAAAAGTGGCAAAAGTGGGCATCCCTGTCTTGTTCCTGTTCTTAAGGGAAATGCTTTTAGTTTTTGACCATTGAGTATGATTTTGGCTGTAGGTTTTTTATATATGGCCTTTATTATGTCAAAATATGATTACTCTATTCCCACTTTGCTGAGCTTTTTATCAGAAATGAGTGCTGGATTTTTTCAAATGATTTTTTAGCATCCCTTGATATAATCATATGATTTTCAGCCTTGCTTCCCTGGGATGAATCCCATTCACTTGGTCACAGTGAATAATTTTTTAATGTATTTCTGGATCCAATTTGCTAATATTTTGTTAAGGATTTTGGCGTCTATGTTCATCAGGGATATTGGCCTGTAGTTTTCTTTCTTTGTAGTGTCTTTATCTGGTTTTGGAATTAACATTATTCCAACTTTCTTCTTAAGGACACCACAGACTTGAGTAATGTTCAAAATATCTGTCCAGTAGCAAAACAAATTATAGGTGTTAGAGTCACGTTGCCATAGTTACTTCTTAAAAGGACAAAGGCAAGATCGCCAAAAAAACAGTATTGTTATAATATTGTACAAATGTACATCTATAAATTACATTGACTTCTGCATAAACTTCCCAGGAAATTATTTAAAATATTGAGGAGAATGTCATAATCTTTCTCAAAACAGATGTAAGAGCCACCCAGAGGTGAGAAAGCAGAGAAGACCTCAATCCAGTGCAGTCTGGAAACCTTGGTTGGCTCTCAGCTGCGAGGAGCAAATGGCATTTCAGACAAGTACTATCTTCCAGCCTACCCATCACAGACTAAGTTCTGGAAACTGTTTTCAAGAAACTGCAACAGCCAAAGATACTAACTTACAATATGCTATGGTTTAGAGTTCTAACCTGGAGTATTCTAAGAACTTAAGAGTACAAGGTCATTTTCGGAAGCTAAGAAGCATTCATCGCAGTCTAGGGAAAGGGATTATGTCAGTAACCGACTCTGCGTTGTAATGTCATCTCAGAGCCGAGTGTTACAGCAGCAGATCGCACCCCTGCTGATGCGTTTGAGTCTCCCATGATGGAGACGAATGGAGTGGACGTTTCAGGCACTGGATGTAGAACTACAGTCTTCAGAAGCCCTGGAATGAAACAAACTCCCCCTGGGTGAGTCCACTAAAAACCAATTTGTGATCTCACCTCACCAATATGATTCTAAAATATTATATTCTCTAATGAAGTTTATTTTTAAAAGCTCTTAAGGAAAAAAAAAAGATCTTGGGCTTCTTCAATTAATAACTCAGGAAAGCTTCCATTTAATGTATGAAAAACATCTGGAAGCAAAATTATTAACCGCAGATATCAGCCCCTATTCTGCAAACACTACAGCCCCCTAATTCGCTGAGACACTGCAAATGTCAACATGGTACGAAATGCTCAGCTTGGCCCATAGGATGAGTGGCGAGGTACCCTCCTCCTTCCATGAAATCTCAACACCTTACCCCCTTTTTTAAGTGAAAGATTATCTGTTTTATTTGGAAGAGAAGTTAGAAGAGTGAAAATGTCTGTACATGGCATCTTCTTTCTTGCAAAGGGACTAGGAACACTATCTAACACCGACCACAGAGAAAGGGTCATTTCCAGAAGTGTGTCGCAGACAAAAGCACACATGCCGTCTCCAAAAAGGAATCAAGCAAAGTCTGTCTGATAGGTACTTTACTCAACTCAAAAGCAAAAAACAGTTATTGATTGCTTATAATATGCAAGTACAGTGGTAGAATAATATAGGTAAACTATCAAAGGTGAAACATAAAATCATACAGCTAGAAAAAGATCAAAGTTAATCCTAAAAGATTAACACGGCGTTTCTCAAAGAGAACTGAAAATGTTTCCCTAATTTTCCAACAATGCTGACTTCAGTGACCATTTCTTTCAAGGTATAAGTCACCTTTCTTGGCTACTTAGAGAAGTTTCCAAGATAATGATTTTTGAGAATAGCTGAACTTGTGGCACCTGTATGTCAACATAGCATCAAATTTCATTTCTGAGTCAGCAATGATTGATGGACTGAGCCATTGACAAGATGAGACATTTGAGAAAGTGATTAAGAAGAAGTTGAAGCTCAAAGGATTAGTATAATGAGTTTTATTGAAGGCAATAGTGTGAAAATAACTTGTAAAAGTGTGACAGAATGTGGAATCAGTGAAGGGCAACTATGTCTGCCTACCAACAGTTATGTCGTTCATATAGACTGGAATAAATTTCAGAAAATGTATTAATTTCCCAAGATAATTGTCTATAATTTAAGCCAAAAGACATCATTAAATGTATTACACTTTTAAAAATTTTTTTACTGAATGGACCAGTGGTATAAGCAGCCAAAGAGAAACAAAAGTCAAATTGAGGGGGAAAAAACAAAAAAATTAAAAGGAAATAAAAAATGTTCACAAATTTCAGAACGCTTTGTACCACAACATGAGCATAGCATTGCAGACGACAGTCTTCAAGAAATCAGCACCTGTGTTGAGCATGAAATCAGAAAATGAATCATGCATTCTTATCTTAATACCCGATTATTTTTCATACATAGCTCAAAATTTATTGATTTCTAACTACTTGAAGTTTTGGTTAAAAGGAAAAAGGTGAGCCCTGGCCAGTTTGGCTCAGCGGTTAGAGCATTGGCCTGCGGTCCAGAGAGACCCGGGTTCAGTTCCTGCTAAGGGCACGTACCTCGGTTGTGGTTTGTCCCTGGCCCTGGTTGGGTTGTGCGGGTGGCAACCACTTGATGTGTCCTTTCACGTCAATGTTTCTTCCTCTCTTTCTCCCTTCCACTCTATCTGAACAAGATATGGAAAAATGTCCTCAGGTGGGGATTTTAAAAAAAAGGAAAAAGGTAATGTAGCTAAACTATCAAAGTTATCATGGAGGATGTGGGGGTGATCTGGCTGCCAGGGTTGATCGGCTGATCGGACTGGCTTGGCTAGGCAGGTGACCTCTTCCTCCTTCACTGCTCCATGAGCGTCAGCCAGAAGCTGCACGCTGGCGACTTTCCCCAACAGAGAAAAGGACCATTCTTCGGTCAAGGGTACATGAGTAGCTTCGATTCCCTGGTAGAACTTCCAAACAAGCTCTCAAAGTTATCATACAGTTCCGAAAAAGGATAGATTCTATTTTACTCAACCTTAATCTTTAGGTTAACACTGAAAATTTATCGAAGGGAATAGAAAAGGTTTTCTTAATTCTCAAACAGTGCTGACTTCAGTGAACGTCTCTTTTAAGGCATGAGTAGCTAGTCTTGTGGCTGCTTAGGAAGGGCTCAAAGGTAATGATTTTTTTGGGACACTTCACAAATTTGCATGTCATCCTTGCACAGAGGCCGTGCCAGCCTTCTCTGAATCATTCCAATTTTAGTATATGTGCTGACGAAGCAAGCACAATAATGATTTTTTAGGGAAAAACTACAGACCTCAGCTTTCTCCAAATGCTCAAAATTATTCACTTTAGTAGAAGGATTATATTCATGCAAAATAATATGATCGATGTCAGCAATTTTTAACCTATGTACTGCAAGAATTTATTTTTTTTATATTTATCTTCAGACAGAGTGGGAGGGAGAGAGAGAGAGAGAAACATCAATTAGTTGCCACCCACATGACCCCAACTGAGGCCAGGGACTAACCATAACTGAGGTACATGCCCTTGGCCAGAATCAAACCCAGGACTCCTTGGTCCGCAGGCCGACGCTCTAACCGCTGAGCCAAACCAGCCAGGGCGCTGCAAGAATTTTTAAAACATGCAATACCTGACTAGTTAGTCAGGGGGACTGACCTCTTTTCCCTTAGACTGTCAAATAAAAATGTGACAACGGCCAATACAATAGCCATCCAGGGTGAACGAATCAAAATTATACCTATGTTTTTGTCAGATCGGCAAAAACTATAATTTTTGGTGCACCACAGAATTTTAGTAATTAATGTATGTATGCCATGAAGCTGAAAAAGGTTGAAAAATCGCTGGTTTATGTAATTCAGTTGTATTACACTGAATAATTGCTGGTATGCTGTATTAGTGTCTCTAACCTGAACACAGCTCCACACCCGAGAAGAGAGGATTATCACGCTGTCCTCGATAGACAGCATAATCCCTGTGAGAGCAACTCCTCCCCCGGTCATACAACAAGAGACTCCAAATAAACCTGAGCCCTGAAATGAACATTTCCAGAACTCAAAACATATTTTTAAGAGAAGTTTAACAATAATCATTTCATTTTCAAGACAAGAGATACAGTCTATGAAAGATCTCTACTCTGATATTCATTCATTTGTTCAAAGCATTAAATAAGCGTTCAGTCAAAGGGATTAGTGGGAAAACCCACTTAATTAGTGGGAGTTGGAGCAGATTCCAAAGAAACATAAGACGCGCACTCTTTGCCCTTGAGACATTCAGAGTCCAGTTAAGAAGAAAACAATTACCAAGCATTTTGAACCTCACTTAAAGGTTATGGAGAAATCAAACTTTTGTAAATCTATGTATTTTAAATGCCATCCATTTAATATCCGAGGTCGGATTACCACCTCTTCCAAACTTGTAAGGAAATATAATTTAAAACAAAACGACATTTTTTTTTATGTAGAGCTAAAAGTTCCTTTGTAAAATGTGTCTTTGTAAAAGGCCTAAATGTATTACTTCTGGGACTCCAATCTTTATACATCAAGGGGCCCACGTGTAAATACAAGTGCAAGTGTGCTATGAGCTGTGCAGATGGCGTCCTCCAAAGCGACACAACAGTGCTGAGCAGCTGGAAGGTGCTCAGACACTTAGAGACTGAGAATTTGAAAGCAAGAAGGAAGAGGAGGATGGGAGACAGACCCAGATGCATCTATAGAAGCTGTCAGGGGAAGCTGGAGGGCTCTTCCCTGGCAGCAGAAAACTAAGGAGGCCATGGGCATCGTGGAGTAAGAAAGCAGAGAGGGACACAGGATATGGAGAGTTTGCTTCTGGAAGGGGCACGTTCGTCCAGCCAGTGTGGACAATGGGACGGCATTCTAAGCCTGAAAATAAAAGTCGATACTTCAAATGATTGTGTGAAGACCAAGAAGCAAAAATCATATCCAAAGACATAGGAATTTTGGTTACAGATAGGAATGACGGCATGTGTGATCCACACAGGTCTCCCCACGCTTCCCACACAATCCGTCCCCAGGGAAGCTCTTGGAGAGGACAAAAGAGGAAAAACATCATGCACTCCAGGCATTGGAAACACATAAGCACTCGATTCAGTCTGTAGACTGTTGCTGCTACAATAGTTGTGCAGGACATGTACCCGGGACCAGGAAGCAACCAGCCCTATTGTCAGAGAAGGGTCATGCCCACACACAAGCTTGCTTAGGTAGGGTGGATGTTGAAAGCCACGCAGACAAATTTCTGTAAACTCTGGCTTCCTCCATCATTAGCCACCCTCTGATTTTTCTACCCTCGTTACTATTTCTCTTTACCAGAAAACGCTCCACGTGATGACCATCTCTGATAAGCGTTCACAAGCAAATGTATAATGTCTTCCCATATTTACTAAAATGTTCCCTCAAATTCCCTCATAGAAGGGCTGATGCCACCAGTCAGAAAAAGGGGGTTTAGGAAAAGCAGGATTTTAAAGATCGAAAGGGAAACTGAGAGTGTGCCTGTCAGATTGGCGAGGAAGATGTGCCCAGGACCCCACAAAGACCTCTCTTCTAGGGATCTGAATAGAAAAGCTAAATGCGTAGCTCAAGCGGGACCCGTGGGTGGATGCACAGTTTTAGCCTAAGAACTATGACCTCAAAGGTTGGTACTTAATCAAGTGACCTCAAGATGAAAAGGGGCATGGAGAAAAGGAAGCTGAATTCCTGAAGTTTTTTTTAGTGCTTATAGTCCGCGAAGCTAATAATGTGACCAGAAGTGCAATTGTACTTGCACCAAAACTGTGTGTAATTGATCCTAAACTGGCCTCACCCTCTAGTAACATTCATTTTTAAGCAGGAAACATTCTGTGTGTGTGTGCTGAACGGCAGAGAACAAGGTAGGAAGGGAAAGTGCTGGGGAGGATGCCAGAGAAAACAGGACCCAAGCCAAAGTCCTTGATCAGAGGAAGAGCCCTGGTTTTCACTCGAGTTACAGCAGCAAAGAATGGATTCGGTATGTTAACACACCTGCATGCGTACTGTACTCAGCTTAATCACTCCATATGGAACGTATGTGCAGGACATAGGGAAATGCATGTAAAATTTGCTCACGAACCTTGAAACATGCTGAAAAATGCTGACAAACACGTTCCAATACAAACCTGTTTGTCTAATTATGTTCTTAACTGACACATGAAGCACAAGCGTAAGCCATACCATGTAGAGGCATGCTCCTATGAGTAGAAAAATCAACAATGTAACAAAAAAAGAACAAACCAGTAAAGGCCAGTCACTTAAATCAATTTTCTGAAGTACAAAAAAAATACACCTTTATTTGCTAACTAATTACACATCTATAATTCTATTAAAATGTATGATAGCCCTGGCTGGTTTGGCTCAGCGGTTAGAGCGTCGGTCTGCAGTACAGAGAGACCCGGGTTCGGTTCCCGCTAAGGGCGCGTACCTCAGTTGCAGTTTGTCCCCGGCCCTGGTTGGTCGTGCGGGTGGCAGCCAATCGATGTGTCCCTTTCACGTTGATATTTCTCTCTCTCTCTCTCTCTCTTCCTCTCTCTCCCTCCCGCTCTATCTGAACAAAAAATAGAAAAATGTCCTCGGGTGAGGATAAAAAAAAAAAAATGTATGATACATTTAAAAAGAAACATATCGCCCTGGCCGGTTTGGCTCAGCGGTTAGAGCGTCTGCCTGTGGTCCAAAGAGACCCAGGTTCGGTTCCCACTAAGGGCACGTACCTCGGTTGCAGTTTGTCCCTGGCCCTGGTTGGGTCGTGCAGGTGGCAACTACTCAATGTGTCCCTTTCACGTTGATGTTTCTCTCTCTCTCCCCCTCCCACTCTATCTGAACAAAATATCAAAAAATGTCCTCGGGTGAGGATAAATAAATAAATATAAACAATATCTTCAGCTGCCAAAGAAATTACTTAATAAATAAAACAATACCCAAACTCTATGGGATTATCCCCAAAATTCAAAGATCAACTGGGCCCTAGCTGGTTTGGCTCAGCAGTAGAGCATCGGTCGGTGGACCAATTAGTGCCGGGTTCAATTCCAGCCAAGGGCAGGTACCTCAGTTGTGGCCCTAGTTGGAATTATGTGAGAGGCAACCAGTGGATGTGTTCCTCTCACGTCGATGTTCCTCTCTCTCTCTCTCTGTCTCTCCCTCTCTCTACCTGAAAATAAATAGAAAAATATCCTCGGGTGAGGATTAAAAAAAAAAGGAAGATCAAATGGACTGATTGATGTGTCTCTCCAAAGAAAAGAGATTCATAGAGGGGGTCGAGGGGTGGGAAAAAGATAAAGCACAGAACTTCCCTGCATGTATGCGTAACCATGGACATAGACAACAATGCTGGGGAAGGGGCGGGGATCGGAAGGAGGGTGTCAATAGGGGAAAAAGGAGAAACATCTGCAACAAAAATAAATTAATAGCCTGGCCAGGGTGGCTCAGTGGTTGGGCATCAACCACTAAGAGGTCGCTGGTTCAGTTCCTGGTCAGGGCACATGCCCAGGTTGTGGGCCTGATCCCTAGTGGGGGGCATGCAGGAGGCAGCCAATCGATGTTCTTGCCCATTGATATTTCTGTCTCTCTTTCCCTCTCCCTTCCCCTCTCTCTAAAATCAATAAAGAAAAAAAAATTTTTTTAATTAATTTATTAAAATTTTTTTTAAAAAGAACATAAACTAGCGGGGAAAGGAGATTCAGAGTTGCAACAACCTGGAGGCAACATTCATTTAATATAAATTCGTGTTGTTGTCAGTTCTATCTGGTATGCTTTTTAGGATAAAAACCGGTTACAACATTTATATGTAGGACAGGCAAAATGTTAAATGGGTTAAAACATGTGCCCTGGACAGTTTGGCTCAGCGGTTGGAGCGTTGGCCTGTGGACCAGAGAGTTCCGGGTTCGGTTCCTGTTAGGGGCAGGTACAAAAAAAAACCAAAATGTATGACCCTTGTAAAGTACCAAAATTAGGTACTTTATTTTATTTTTTTATCCTCACCCAAGGACATTTTTCCATTTTTTGTTCAGATAGAGTGGGAGGGAGGGAGAGAGAGGAAGAGAGAGAGAGAGAGTGAAACATCGACGTGAAAGGGACACATCGAGTGGCTGCCACCCACACGACCAACCAGGGCCGGGGACAAACTGCAACCGAGGTACGTGCCCTTAGCGGGAACCGAACCCGGGTCTCTCTGGCCCACAGGCTGACAGTCTAACTGCTGAGCCAAACCAGCCAGGGCCAAAATTAGGTACTTTAAAGGGT